ATCATCAGCGCTTCTGTACGATGCTAGGTCTTGTGCCCATTTGGCCTCACTTGCTCACTTCTTGACCTTGCTTGTACTGCATTTTCTATATACATGCTCTTGCTTGTTTGTCTTTATATATAATCATGCATGTGAACTGGCCTTGTGGCCTTGACCTTGTACTCAGATTTGTGGTGACGTTGTGATCCACTCTGAGCTTGCTTGCTTGATTGGTCTTGTGGCCTCTAGGTCTTCCCCACTTTGCCTATGAGGGTGTGTCAAACATATGTTATATTGTTTATATCTAGGCTGTAGTGGGTTAGATACTAGAGGGTATAGGGTTGTTTCTTGTACGTCTCGAACTTCTCCTAGTGCAACTTTTCTCTCGACTCTCACACTTACAACAGTATTGACTAAATACATAGCCCTAATCACACAACCCTGGGTTCCACCATACCGACCACGTTGCTAGTCATATGCCCGTGCTCGATTTTTATCCCCCTTCACCCTGTCGCTGATCTTTTTGCTCATCTTCAAAACCAAATCCTGAAACCTAGCGTCAATCGTTGTCGACACCCACGTCATTGCGAGAACATCATTGATTTCTGGCGGGGAACATAAGAAAGGAGTGGGGAACTTAGTGTAGGGAGTAGGCAAAACAAAGCAGCGGTGCGTGCAGTGATTGGAAGTCATCCCTGCAGGGGTGGATGAGAGGACAGGTAGGGAAGTGGGGGGGACCTAATGTGTTGATCCATCGATGGATTGCGAGCGCAAAAGGAAGGGTAGGGTATGGCAGGGTATGGCACGGGATGGATGGGTATGGCAGGCGATGGATGGGTATGGCGCGGGATGGATGGGTATGGCTGGAGTATGGAATGGTATGGTACAGTTCTGCTAAACAGGGAATTGTAGGGCAGGGTATGGCAAGGAGCGGCAAGGTATGGCAGGGGAGGGGTGAGTTTGGCTGGCCTATGTATGGGACGGGAGGGACGGGAGGCAAGGGAGGGAGGGGAGGGAAAGGGAGGGAAGGGAGAGAAGGGAGGGACGGGAGGGAAGGGAGAGAAGGGAGGGAAGGGAGGGACGGGAGGGAAGGGAGAGAAGGGAGGGACGGGAGGGAAGGGAGAGAAGGGAGGGAAGGGAGGGACGGGAGGGAAGGGAGAGAAGGGAGGGAAGGGAGGGACGGGAGGGAAGGGAGAGAAGGGAGGGAAGGGAGGGAAGGGAGGGAAGGGAGGGAAGGGAGAGAAGGGGGGTAAGTGAGAGAAGGGAGGGAAGTGAGAGAAGGGAGGGAAGGGAGAGACGGGAGGGAAGGGAGAGAAGGGAGGGACGGGAGGGACGGGAGGGAAGGGAGGGAAGGGTGGGACGGGAGGGAAGGGAGAGAAGGGAGGGAAGGGAGAGAAGGGAGGAAAGGGAGGGACGGGAGGGACGGGAGGGAAGGGAGGGAAGGGAGGGACGGGAGGGAAGGGAGGGAAGGGAGGGACGGGAGGGAAGGGAGAGAAGGGAGGGACGGGAGGGAAGGGAGAGAAGGGAGGGACGGGAGGGAAGGGAGAGAAGGGAGGGAAGGGAGGGACGGGAGGGACGGGAGGGAAGGGAGGTACGGGAGGGACGGGAGGGACGAATATTCGGCCGCCCGGAAAAGGGATCAGGGAGGCGGGACGGCATGTCTGGCGGCGGAAAATGGGAATCGGGCGGCGGGAAGCGCAGCGGGCGGCGGGAAAGGGGAAGCGGGCCGCGGGAACGGGAATCGGACGGCGGGAACTGGAATTTGGCGGCGCGAAAGGAGAAGCGGGCGGCGCGAAAGGGGAATCGGGCGGCGGGAGCGGGATTAAGGCGGCGGGAATTGGAATTTGGCGGAGCGCAAGGGGAATCGAGCGGCGGGAAGGGGCGGTCGGGCGGCCCGCCCGGAATCCATGGGCGGGAAAGGGGATTCAGGTGGCGTGGAAGGGGATTTCGGAGGCTGGATAGGGGAACCGGGCGGCGGGAATGTGGTTCGGGCGATGCGAAGGGGAGTAGGGCGACGGGAAAGGGAACCCGCCGGAAGGAAGAAGTGGTGGGAGCAGGGAGTCGAGCGGAGGGAAGGGGAATCGCCGGACAGCGTGACTGGGGTTTCGTGGCGGTGGAAATGGGAAACCGGGCGGGAGGGAGTTGCATCAGGCGACGCGAATGGGGAATCGGGCGTCGCACAAGGGGAATCGCGCCGCAGATAAGGGCTATGGCGAACCCTAAGCTCCGTGTATTTGGCGCCGGAAAATAATCAATGGCTCTGTAGGTGTTTGACCTACGCGTGAGGCGCGCTATAATGACATTGGATTGCAGTGTTTTTGGAATTTACCTATGTAGTGATGACTTAGAGCGCTCTGGGGGTGGGGATAGTGGTGAGGAGGCATGTCCTTCAGTATACTTTTGGCTAGCCATAAACTTTTGACGAGTGAGTCAGGTGAGAGGGGATGGTGTTGAACTTGTCGCTGTGTCCGAAGTCGAGAGACCCTGTAATTTGGTTACCACCTTGTACCTTTTATAAAGTTTTGGCCTTCCCACTGCCAAATGTATACCGCTGCTTTAAGCGAGTAGGGTCGAAGTTCGCGAATACTCCCCACAGACGAACACTTTTCGCAGTGCATCAGTTTCAAAGCCCTCTGCACCGCTCCACAAACCCTTGAAAAGTTCCCTTGTTCAGCTAATCCAGCACCACAGCGAAGCTGTTCCAGAGTATTCACGAGGGGAAGATCTAGTTCCAGTAGTTCCACCAGTTATGCTGTCATTCAAGACATTAGGTTTGAAGGACCCGTAGGACCGAGACACCGCGCCACGTGGGTTCAGGCAAAGAAACGATTTTTTACTCGCGTCGCGCAGCGTTCCTCCGTCTGTCGCTATGGAGGTCGGCGCTCGCGAGGCGTGCCGGCTTTATGTCGGCCGTTTGTCGACGCGTACGGGGATGCATGACCTGGAAGACATCTTCTCGAAATACGGAAAGTGCGTTTCCTGTTTTCACCATTCCGAACCGTTCCATTGCATTTATTCAAGAAGGTGTTATCTTTGGTTGTGCTCCCGCCCACCTCTTAGCGTGCACTTCTGTAAGCTTGAATCATGTGAACCTTCTCGGGCTTATTGGTGCCGTTCACTGGCTCAAGATCGTCTTTTGGATTTCGATTTTGCGTCGAACATTTGGGAAAGAGGAGACTTCATGGAGAAGGAGCAACAGGCGTCGCTGGCCAATCACCTTCCGTGCGCACGCTCCAGATGAGTCGAAATAGTTCGGATTCGACCAGAGGATTTTAACTCAAGGCTCCGAGGTGCCGTCAATTCAACTTCAAATCGTAACTCCTGAGGTGTTTCTCGCGTCGAGCGCCAATCGTCCTGGTTTGATATAGCCGTTTCAATTCCTTCAGAAAGACTTGGAATTTCTATGTTTCTGAGCGGCGCGCTGGTTCCTGGTCTCCGTGCCTGGGCTCTACTGCTTCTGGCGTCAGTTTCTGGCGTTGAATTTTCTGCTGTTAATCTCAGCGTTAACACTCCAGCCTCCATACCGGCTTTCAAAGCGACTTTTGAGGCGCCTTAAAAGACCTCTACTGCTCCAGCCTCCATGCCGTGGCCCATGAATTACCCTCCCCGTCCATGAGCTTGCTGGCGTATTGCAGGCCCTTCTACTGTTTTTGAGGCGCCTCAGAAGTCGGCTCCTGATGCTGATAGAATACACTCCCCGTCCATGACATATATTCTCGCTGGCGCATTTCAAGTCCTTCTACTGTGCTCCTCATTTGAGCCCACACCACTCTGGAGCAAGAATGGTTGGCTCTGTGTCTCCCTCCACTCCCCCAAACCTCTCCACCCCCTCCCCCTCCCCCCCTCCCCCTCCCCCTTCCCCTCCCCCTTCCCTCTGCGGTCTGCAATCCGAGATTACAAAGCAAGCGGCGTGGCAGTTTGTTCGGCAACTTTTGGTATCAGGGCTCAGTTATTACTTTCAACAGGTTTCATGCCGCCTTGATCCGAGCCCCTTGATTAAGGCAAACAACATCCGTCCGGGGACCCTACGCTTTTATGGCTCAGATGTTTCAACATCTTTATGGCTCAGGAACCCTTGACCTTGTCCCGGAGTGGGCTGAACCTGAATGCTGACATGAGAGCCTTTGCCTCCCTGCTCCCATCCCATGTTGGGACCTGTGCTCAGCCATCTGTGTCCCCCGATTTCTCCTCTTCCCATTCCCAACATTCTGGTTCGTTCATCTGCCCCTCCTGCTGCATGGACCTAATTCTACTGTTCCTCCTTACATTTCTCCTCTCTCTTTTCTGTTTCTCCCCCTGCTCCCTTGTTTTCTCCCCGCATTCACCTCCTCCCATGCCTCACCTCCCTCCCTCCATTCTCCTCTTCCTCTGCTTTTCCACCCTTTCTCCTCTCTCCCCCTGCTCTCGACATCTCTGCCTCTTCCTTCCCTTCCCCATCTCCATTCCCCCCTCCTCCCTCGCCCACCCTCCCTTTCCACCCCCTCCCGTGTGTCTCGCATCCCCTGTTCTGCCCTACCTTCGCACAACCATGGACTCTTGTTATGGCACTCCTGTTTCTGCTGCCGATCCACCCCTGCTGCCGATCCACCCCTGCTGCCGATCCGCTCCTGCTGTCGATCCACCCCTGCTGCTGCCTCGTGAAACTTCGCGTGCTGACTCCTCTCACCACCTTGATGGGCGGCTGCATGGTCAAACGGCACAACTCCATGAACGCCTGTTGCCCTGATGCCATGGCTGCCTGTTGCCATGCTGTTGCCGACTTCTTGCACCGGCCGGCTCCCTGGGTGGCTGCGTGGGGCTTCCTGGGTTGCTGCGTCGGCGACCGCATGGGTGGCATGGCTGGCTGGCTGGCTGGCTGGCTGGCTGGCTGGCTGGCTGCGTGGGCGGCTTCTCGTGCGGTGCGGTGCGGCGCCTGCTGCCATGGTGGCGTTGCCTGCTTCTTCCACCACCGGTGCTGTCTCGGCGGCTGCTCTGCGGCTGCTCTGCATACACCGGCGCTCGCTGGATTGGGCCGGCCTTGCATGTCGTTCGGGGCCTCATTCCTCTCACCACCCAGGGTGAAGAGAGTCGATATGAAGACCGACTATGCCTTCGTGGTGAGCCTCTTGCTTGCGTAGCGCTGTTTCCCTGTGACACACAAAAATGAACGTCAACCATATGCCATTCATTCACGTGTCAAGTCGTGAAGAAGAGAACCTCTCTAGGCTGGTTCTGATCCTGCGGTAAGTAAGACACTTTTGCATTGCTTCTCTGTTATCCGTGTAGTGAAGATGTGCGTATGGGACCATGCATATGCATTTCAGGCCATGGTGGATGGAGCGCGGAGCTTTAACATTCATGGTAAGACTTGCTTGCGCTCTTGCTCATTGGCTTATTTTCTTGTCTAAGATGACTTTCTTTCAAATGTCCTTCAAAGAAATCAAGAACTTTGAAGCAAATTCTCGAACCTCAGTCTTCACCCGAATCTGGCTCCCTTTGTCATCCTTCACCAAACCATAATCAGTGGTTGTGTGCTACGCGTAGTCTCGTTGTCACCCCTCATTCAAAATCACAACCGCCAGTCCAGGGCCTCGTAAACACGCTCAAAACCAGCGACTCTCCTCGTCTACTGAATGGTTTCTTCACCAGCCCTTATGAAATCGCAGCCTTCACTTGTCTGTCGCGTCGCGTGGTCTCGCTCTCCGTCATCCCTCGTCTGAACCAAACTCTTCAATCGACTACTTCGTGGTCTCTCGTCGCCATTCTTTGTCCGAACCACGATCCGACGCATCCTCGCCTCATCCTTTAATTTTCATTGTTGACGGCACACCCGCGCGGTGCACAAAGGCACAGCAGCACGATGGTACGCCGGCAAAAGCGACATCGTGGCATGGAAATACAGCGGCGAGGGGCCACAGCAGCACAGCAGCACGGCATGGCAGCACGGTGGGACAGTGGGATGGTGGCACGCTGGTATGGTGGCCGAACCACAATCTCCTCTCGTGCAAACATCGTGGTGGTGGTGGTGGGTGACTTCACCGACGTTCATCAGAACCACAGACAGCCTCAGCCCCAATCCGTCCACCTCATGGTGTCTTAGTATGTTTTCGAAAATATACAAAAAAACATACTCCACCTCATGATGTCTTCTCTTGGACCACAGAACAGTCTCCTCTCCTGCACATCATGGTCGCTTCGCTTTCCCCCATTGTCCATTCGAAACACAACTCCTCCTTGCCTACTTCACGGTATCTTCGACTGAACCACAGTCTCCCATCATATTCCTGACAGTCGCGCCATCGCCGTTCTTTGAGACATCGCGAAAGGTATCTTTGAACCACAGTCTCCTATCATATTCCTGACGGTCGCGCCGCCGCTGTCCATCCAACCCACAGCATCAACTCGTACAATTCTTGGTCAGTCAGACCAGACCAACTGCCCATCCAAACCGTTGACTGACCAGCCAGCAGCCGGGTTGGCCTATGATGGGTCAGTCAGTTCAGATGAATCCGGCCCTCGACCCATCCTTCAAGACCTTGACTTTATTTTAGTCGTCTCAAAAACAAACTCATCACAACCGGGTTGGCCCATGATGGTTCAGTTGAGATGATACCGGCCCTCGACCCATCCTTGAAGGCCCTGACTTTCAAACATTTTACGTGAAAGAAGTGGATTTTTAGAACGTCTTAAAAGTTCACATGAAACCGGCCCTCGAGTCGTCGACCTGTCTTTAAAGACCTTGACTTTCAAAGTTTTTATGAAGTCAAGGAGGAGGAGAGCTGGTGTGAGCTATCAGGGTGCGGACAAAGTCCTTGGTGCGTGCCACAAGGATAGCATACGCCCCTAATGACTGACAGCCCCCTATTAGAGGCCCCCTAATGACCGACAGCATTCAAGCAGCCAGAGGTATGGTGGTCAATGACTCAATGTTGATTTAGTGGGCAAGTTTATCGATGATTGATTTCGGCATGGCATGTTGGGGTGGGGTAGGTGCATATCATAGGTGCAATCACACCGTACACGGATAGCGGACGAGGGAAGCTTAGGGTGAGGGAAGGAGATCTGAGGGTGGAACGAGGTGACGACCAAAGGTGAAAATCTTGACCGCCGTGGGCTACGTAAGCAAGGCAATAGTGATACCTTCTTCAACAACAGCTCCCAGGCCTGACCAACCTTTCGAAGGATTGGTATGATCGCCACGACCACAATCAATGACCATACTTGGGTAGTGCTCCTATGCCTGATTAACGGAAGCCAAGTCCTTGCATTTAAGGTGATCTGCCACTAATTTTTTTTTGGTCCACTTTTTTGTTTATCCTTATGCCCAAAACCCCGCTGTGTGTTATATTCGCAGGAGTTTTTCAATGCACAGGATGCCAAGGAAGCGCAGCAGCAGTGCCATGGCATGGTGGTGGACGGTGCAAGAATCATTGTGGAGATGTCGAAAGGAGTGAGTGCTTAGACTCATTCATGAGAATCATTTATGGGGTTCTTGTGTGGGTATGTATGTGCGTGTGGGGAAGCAGATATGTGCGTGTGTGGCAGCAGATATGTGCGTGTGTGGCAGCAGATATGTGCGTGTGTGGCAGCAGATATGTGTGTGTGTGGCAGCTGATATGTGCGTGGTGGATGGATATTGCTGTGCTGCTAGTCATGCGATAGCATGGCATGGTCGGTGGTGGATGCGGCGAGACGAGAATGATTGTGGAGATGTTCAAAGCGGTGAGTGCTCTTTTGATGGGTGAGTAGTATCTGTGTGTGTGTGTGTGTGTGTGTGTGTGTGTGTGTGTGTGTGTGTGTGTGTGTGTGTGTGTGTGTGTGTCTGGCAGCATATGTGTTTGTGTGGATGGGTTTTGTGCTTGTGCACAAGCACGTGCAGCTCATGCACATCTTACTCCCCCTCTTTCCCATCCGTCTCCTCTCCCCCAACAGCCCAACCAGCCCTCCAACCCACCGCGCTGCTTCACCTGCGGGCAGGAGGGGCATCGCTCCACAGAGTGTCCGCAGAGGCCGAGGCAGCACCACTCGCAGGTCGTGTGCTTCGGATGCAAGCAGCCTGGGCACCTGCACAAGCACTAGCTGCAGCTCATGTGCATCTTACTCCCCCTCCTTCCCATCCATCTCCCTTCCTCCCCACAGCCCAACCAGCCCTCCAACCCACCGCGCTGATCCACCTGCGGGCAGGAAGGGCATCGCTCCACTGATCAGACTGCCCTCATTTGCGTCTTTCTCGGGTTCCTCGCCTCGTCTTTCCCATCCTCTCCTCTTTCCCCACAGCCCAACCAGCCCTCCAACCCACCGCGCTGCTTCACCTGCGGGCAGGAGGGGCATCGCTCCACCGAGTGCCCGCAGAGGCCGAGGCAGCATCACTCGCAGGTCGTGTGCTTCGGGTGCAAGCAGCCTGGGCACCTGCACAAGCACTGCCCCAACCGCCCTGCCATGCCGTCTCCCAAGCCTGGCGTGGGCCCGTCTGGGTCTGGGGTGATCTCTGATTCGGCTGCTGGTGGGATGATTTCTGGTGCTGCTGCTGGGGTGCCTGAGGCGGCAGCTAGTGGTGGTGTCAAGTGCTTCGGGTGCAATGCATCTGGACATGTGCTCAAGGACTGCCCACAGATTGCCAGTGAGTCTAGGGATGAGATTGGTGTCACTCGCAGGTCGTGTGCTTCAGGTGCAAGCAGCCTGAGCACCTGCACAAGCACTGCCCCAACCGCCCTGCCATGCCTCCGGCTCCGGCAACGCCTGCCGGGATACCGTCTGGATCTGGGGTGATTTCTAATTCGGCTGCTGTTGGGATGCCTGAGGCGGAGGCAAGTGGTGTCAAGTGCTTCGGGTGCAATGCATCTGGACATGAGCTCAAGGACTGCCCACAGATTGCTGGTGAGTCTGCTTTTGGGACAATGAACCTAGTCACGTGCACGAGTGTGCTGCTCGGGTTCACTGAACCTGGACATTTCTGCTCAAGGACTGCCCGCATATTGCGGACGAGGCTGCTTGTATAGCTGGCATGTGTTGCTGTGGCATGTGATGCAGTGGCATGTGGTGCAGTGGTGGCATCTCTTGCAGTCGTATGTCGAGCAGTGGCATGTGCTGTAGTGGTTTTACTCCTCTGCCGTCACTCCTCTGTCTTCACTCCTCTGCCATCACTCCTCTGCAATCACTCCTCTGCCTTCGCTCCTCTGGTTTCACTCTGCTGGTTTCACTTCCCTACCTTCACTCCTCTGCTTCCACTCGTTCATGCAGGTGATCCCCCGGTGCGGTTTTGAGGCGCCTCAAAACTAAATCCGCAGGTGCGGATCAGCTTGAGAGGCAGCGTTGTTGGGGACACCAGTTGTCAACCTTGGAAGCACCCATATTCGCTCTCCTCTCGTTTCACTCCTCTCACTTTCACTCCTGTGGGTCCACTTGTTTGTGCAGGTCGGGGAGCAGGTGGGGAGCAGCATGAGAAGCAGCGTGGGGGGGAGAGAAGCTACTTGTTGACCTTGGCTGAACCGCCGTGCCCATACCCGCACATTCCTCGTTTCACTCCTGTGGGTCCACTTGTTTGTGCGGGTGGGGGAGCAGGTGGGGGAGCAGGTGGGGAGCAGCATGAGAAGCAGCGCAGGTGGGACAAGCGCCACTCGTCTCCCCCCTCCCGACAGCACTCGCCCAGGTGAGGCGTGAAGGCATGGAATGAGATGAGGAGTGGTGAAGCGGGGTGGGGTGGGTTGGGATGTGGTGAAGTGAGGTGGGATGGGATGGGATGGGATGGGATGGGATGGGATGGGATGGCATGGGATGGGATGGGATGGGATGGGATGAGACACCACTTGTCATTGTAATCCTTCCTGTTTTCAAGTATTTTGTGGCTATTTTTTCTTCAGATTATCCACAAGGAAGCACTTGCCACTTGACATAGATTTCCTGAGCCATGCTTTGCCTATTCCATCCTTATCACTCTCCCCTACCTTCTCCCCCTCCCCCATTTGCAACCATTTATCTCTGTGTTTTGAGTCGACTCAAACACATCCTCATCTATCTCCCCTACCTTCTCCCCTTCCCCTCCTTCCATCCATTTCTCTGCCACTGACCGCCACCCCCCTTTTTTTGGTCCCTGCCTTCTGTTCTCTCTGGGGGCTGTATGTACGTTGGGCTGGGGGCTTTTTGGAACTCGTCGTTCCTGTCTCTTCATTCAACTTCGTTTCGGAAATTGATTTTCCAACTTCAGGCGTGACTTAAGGGACAGGCTTGGCCGGGGCGAGAGGGATGAGAGGAGGGACGGAGGCCGGGGACGGGAGGAGAGGGACAGGGATGAGAGGGAGCGAGGGAGGAACGAGATGGATAGGGAAAGGGAAAGGGAGCGGGAGCGGGAGCGGTGGGGAAGGGACGAAAAGAGAGGCTATGGTCACAGTGGTGGTGGTGGTGACAAGAGGGGGCGTGATTATAGTGAGCTTGGCAGCCCGGGGAGCAAGAGAGGCCGTGACAATGATGACCGTGAGAGAAACGACCGTGACTTTAGGGATCGGCAGGAGGGAAATTATCTCCCAAGCAGAAACGACCGTGATTATATGGAGGGCAGCGGTGCAAAGCCAGAAGCCAGACTGATAATGACTGTTCCTACCACCCCGCCTAAACCTGTCCCCCCTTATAATCCCCTGCCCCCTGCTCCGGCCCCCGTTTCAAACATGCCGTATGGCGGTGTGCCTTATAATGGGTCGGCTTATGGTGGGGCGGGCTATGGAGGCACGGCTTATGGGAGGGATGTGAGTAATGTGGGAATGGGTGTGGGGACGGATACGGGGATGGGAATGGGGGGTGGTAGTGGTGGTCCTGTGTATGGGCATGGTGGGATGGCTGCTTCTAGCACTTACCAGGCTCCTGCTATCGCTGTTGCTCCTGCTGGTGGTGCTGTTGCTGGTGCTGGTGGTGCTGGTGCTGTTGGTGGTGGTGCTAGTGCTGTTACAATGGGTCCTGTTGTGTCGGGCCCTGGTTTCCCTCAAGGCACCGTAGCTGCTTCTCCTGCCCCTGCTCCTGCTCTTCCTATTGCTCCTGCTCCTTCTGCTGTTACTGCTCCTGCTGTTGCTGCTCCTGCTGCCGTGTCTGCTGGGGGTGCTTCTGCTGTGTACGTTGCTTCTGGTTCTGCTGGTTATGGTGGTGGTGCAGATGGATTGGGAGTGGTGGGCGGTGGAGGGATGGGTGGAGGAATGGTAGGAGGAATGGGAGGAGGAATGGGGGAGGGATGGGGGGAGGGATGGGGGGAAGGCTTCGGGGAGGGATAGAGGGAGGAATGGATGGAGGGATGGGCGGAGGAGTGGGTGGAGAGATGGGGGGAGGGACAGGGGGAGGAACGGTGGGAGGAATGGTGGGAGGAATAGCGGGAGGAATTGGAGGGGGAGGAGCAGGGGGTGTGGTGTATGTTGCTATCCCAGCGGCAGCAGCAGCAGCTGCAGCAGCGAGGGGGGAGCAGCTTATTCTGGTGAGTGCGAGCGATGGGCGGCTGGTGGGGCAGGATGGGGGGATGCTGCCTCAGGGAGGAGTTCAGCAGGCGGGTGGGCAAGGGGGAGTGCAGGGATCGCAGCAGGGGGGGATTCAGCAGGCGGGGATGCAGCAGGGGAGGATTCAGCAGGGGGGGATGCAGCAGGGGGGAATGCAGCAGGGGGGAATGCAGCAGGGGGGAATGCAGCAGGGGGGAATGCGGGCATTGCAGCAGCAGGGGCAGCAGAGGGGGCAGCAGGCGGGGCAGCAGGCGTTGCAGCAGCAAGGAGGGATGTTGCAACAAGCAGAGATAGCAGGGCAGAAAATATTTGTTGTGGGTCAGGATGGGATGTTGACTCAGCAAACTGCACGATTGTCCGGGCAGCCTGTGGGGCAGCAGCAGCAGGGGGGACTTTCAGGTGAAATGTCAGGTGTTTTGCAGCAGTATGAGCCCGTTCGGGTGTACAGTGGAGTAGGAGAGTCCTACGGCACCACTCCTGCTGGGGGAAGAGTGGAGGGCGTTCGTTTGCAAGGCGCCTATGGCACTAATGCAAATACCTCTGGACCTGAGGGGTATAGTGCGAGTCCCCCCTACAGTGGTGGTGCTGCTACTGGTGGTGGTTCGTCCGTCTCTACTCCCCCTTGGCTTGCCGCTGCCCCTGTTTCTACTCCAAATGCTCCTCCTCTTCCCTCCGGACCGCCTCCCACTTACAACACAAGGGTCGACACAAGGGGTGCATCCGCAGGAGGAGGGTTACCGGGCCAGCCGTACGCTGGTAACCGTAACACGGAACCATTTATCAATACCAATGAGCAATTCACAGGCAGCACTACCAGGCCCAGTGGAATTACTGGGCCTGGTGGTCTGTCTTACTATGCTGATAACACTACCACGTTGCAACCTGGGCAGGGTTACCCGTCACGGGGACCAGAGCCGGGGTTTGGTGGGCTTAACAGTGGCATGGGAGGCAGTAACACGGGCCCTGCGGGGAGTGGTGGGCCCGGAAATAGCTATGGTGGTAATGCAGGTGGTCCCGGTGGTGGTGCAGGTGGTGGTTACTCGAACCTGCCTGCGCCCGCTTATGCGCCCATGCCCGCCCCTGCTCCTCCTACTGAAATTTATATGAGTGGGGGCAGTGCGTATGGCGGCCGGGCAGACGGAATTATTGGCCGGGCGGAGGGAACTATGGCTCGGGCAGAAGGAGGGCCAGGAGGAAATGCGGGCTGGGCAGAAGGAAACAGAGGAGACGGAATTTTGGGAAAGCCGCAGGGGGTGATGATGAGTCCACCAATGGGAAGGCGTTCACAGGATCAGGACCGAGGGAAACGGGGTGGGGCGGGCAGGAACAGGGGTAACAGCGGCAACACAGGGGGGCGGGACCGGGATCGTGGTAGCGGCGGTGGTGGTGGTGGCGGCGGTGGTAATAGCATGCGTGATCGAGGTTACGGGAAGGGCAGCAGTGGTGGCGGTGGCGGGGGTAGCAGCACAGGGGATCGTAATCGTGGTAGCAGCGGTGGCGGCGGCGGCGGCGGCGGCAGTGGTGGTGGTGGTGGTGGTGGTGGTGGTGGTGGTGGTGGTGCTAGGGAAACCCACCACCACTAAAAAGGATGGAATTGTGTCGTGTGGTTCTTAGAGTGGGGTCGTGGCAGAAAGAGAGGTGGTGTAAGAGAGAGAGGGGTCGTGGCACAAAGAGAGGTGGTGTAAGAGAGAGAGGGGTCGTGGCACAAAGAGGGGTGGTGGAACAGGGAGAGGGGCCATGAAACACGGGGGGATGTTGCAACAGAGCTTCTAAAAACTGGACCTAGGCAGGGAAATGAGATCTCCAGCCAACCACATGGTGCCATGAGATTGGTCTGATACCATTGCAAGTTGTTGTCTCAGGTGTATTTTTCTAGGGAAAGGGAAGGGGAGGGGCTAGGAGGGGGACCTGATAGTGGCCCCCATTGATGGGTTTAGGTTGAACACGGAGGAGAAAGCACCACAGATAGCTGGATATATTTTACGCTAAATGTAACCTCCTGATCTTTCTGATCTTGAATGTGGATAACAGATTGAGGCGTAGGAAATTGCTCTCCCGCTTCTTCGCACGGCATGTCGTCGCCACTCGAGTTTTCGCCCTCACGTGGTATCCGAGTTGCGGACAGTGCATTTCCATTGGTAACCTGCAGAATCCTTTCGTCAAAAAGCGACTTTTCGCCAGGATAACTTCGGCTTTCAGCCTGCTTCATGCATTGCCCACCACACATAACAACAGCAATTTCCCACCATCAATTCTATCTTGCGACTCAAGAAGAAGTTAGCTCTCCTATTTTTGATGACTGTTTGCTGCATGCGTGATGCTTGTGCTCTCTCCCCTGACCCGAGCAATCCCAGTTTCTGGCTACGCTGCTTCTGCGAAGCTTATTTCTCCCGTGATTGCCGCTTCGCCAATCAGGTCTGCTGATTGAATTTGCGCGGCTGGCGGTCGTTACGGCAGCTGCGCGCCGAGCCGCAGCGTGCCAAGTCGCAGCGCGCCGACTCGCAGCGCGCCGAGGCGCTTTACATCGAGGCTTCATGGGGTCCGTGCTGGGTCGCATCGAGGTCGAGACGCCGCGATTCACGGTGGAGGAGAAGACGGATGCATATATGAAATTCGGCGATACCCGCCGCAAATGGCGGCGGAAGTGACGTACGACGGCGACCATTTCCAGGTGCGGTGTAGTGCGGTGCGTTACGGCGCTGTGCATCTATTTTTCTTTCCTCTCTCTCCCCCCTGTTCATTGTTTCCGCCAAAGGCGGCAACCACAAGCGGTGTTACTGGTTTCATCTTAAACCGCAGTATCCGCTGACGCTAGTCTACCATGGGCATGGGCGTGTCAAGTGTCGTTGCGCCTTGAGTGTCTCATGACCTCACCACTTCCACACAATCTCAATGACTAGACAATTAATCGGGTTACCATCTTCGCGGATTGTTGGGATTAGGGTGCCACCCTATGGCCTTATTCACCGCATTGGCAGGCTGCACTGGCAGGCGACACCCTATGCCTCCCTTGCCGTCCCCTTGCCGTCCCCTTGCCGTCCCCTTGCCGTCCCCTTGCCGTCCCCTTGCCGTCCCCTTGCCGTCCCCTTGCCGTCCCCTTGCCGTCCCCTTGCCGTCCCCTTGCCGTCCCCTTGCCGTCCCCTTGCCGTCCCCTCGCCCTCCCCGTGCCTCCCTTGCCTTCCTCTTGCCCCCCTTCTTGCCTTCCCCGTTCCCCCTTACCCTCCCCTTGCCCGTCCCCCATTCCTCCCGCTCCCTTCCACTCCCTCTCCCTCCAAGCGTGTTTGCTCCAAAAGCAGTTTTTTTGTTTTTGTCCTCACAGGCTGCATTTGAGGTGCAAAGCACCGTCGGCGAATGGTACAGGCGCTCCTTCCAAAAAAAAAAAGGGGGGGGGTGCGGTAGTTGATGATAGGAGGGTCCACCAAAATGGTTTTGTGTTTGCCTTGCTTCCCTCACTCTCTTCCAAATCCCCCTTCCTGCCCACGGTGTCATGTCAGCCCCAGAAGCGGTTTCTTCACCTTGGCAGGCTGCGTTGGGGTGCTGGATGGAGTAGATGATTGTAAATCTGCTCTTATAACCGCTTTTGATTTTATCCTCCCTTCCCATCCGGACATCTCTTCCCTCCCTTGCTCCCTTCCAAGTCTTCCTCCCTGCACATCGTGTTGGCTCTAGAAGCGGTTTCTTTGCTCTCGCAGGCTACATTGGGTTGCTGGGTCCAAAAGATGATAGTTCCCCAGTCATCCCTTCTCCTCTACTCCCTTCCAACTCTTCTTCCCTGCACAGCGTGCCCGGAAGCTGCTTCTTTGCCCTAGCAGGCTACATCGGGTTGCTGGGTCCAGTAGATGGTAGCTAAGCTGCTCCTTCAACTGTATCTGGTCATCCCTCACTCACCCCCCTTCCACTCCCCCTCCCTGCCCAGCATGCTGGCTCTAGAAGCGCCTTCTTCGCCCTAGCGGGCAACATCGGGGTACTTTATCCAAAAGATGTTAGTAAAGCTGTTCTTTTTACTGCTTCCGGTCTTCCCTCCCTCTCATCCCTTCCCTCCCTGTCACCTCTCACACCCTCCCCCACTCCTTGCACAGCGTGTTGGCTCCAGAAGCGGTTTCTTTGCCTTGGCAGGCTACATCGGGGTGCTGGGTCCACCAGAGAACAGAAAACCTGTTCCAGGGGAGGGAACGGGAGGGGAGGAGCGGCAGAAAATAGCCATGACTGCTCCTGTTATCACAGAAACAAGTGCTACCGCTGCTGCGGATGGGGATGGTGCTGTTGCTGGTTCTGCTGCTGGTGCAGATGGTGGTGGTGGGGAGGGTGGTGGGGGTGGTGGGAGTGGTGAGAATGGTGAACATCAGAAAATCGCCATGACAGCGCCTGTGGTAACACAAGTGGTAACACCTGTCGCAGGAGAAACGGGTGCTGGTGAATCAACGACAGCAGCGAGCAAAACGACGATGCAGTTTCTCCTACCAGCGTCATTCACGCCAGATAACACCCCCATTCCCACCAACCCAGCCGTGCGCGTGAGACAGGTTCCTGCCCGCCTGATTGGTGCGGTTACATTCTCAGGCCTCACAACGAATGCTATCCTGGAGCAAAAGTCGCAAGAGCTGCAGAGTGCGTTGGAGAAAGCGGGGTACGGTATTGCGGGCGAGTATGTGCTCGCGCGTTACAACGACCCGTTCACGATTCCGTGGTTTCGCACGAACGAGATTCTGTACCCGTTGGAAGAGGTTCGGAAAGAGAGTGGTTCGTGAATATTTGATTGTTGATTTAACCACCAAGTTGCCATCATTTGCAGCAATGTGTCATACCCACCCACTCCAGCATGCACAGTTGAAGTGGAAAAAAAGGAGAATCATACGTACAGTAGGGACACAACTACTTCAGTACAACATTATCCTTCTATGGGGTACAAGATCTCGTTCGTCCTCATAAACGGCAGAGTGAACGGCGGGTTGTACCGTCCAACCACATAATCCCCACAAACTTTATACCCGCCTGCTTCTAGCGCCGCCCGCAGTTCCTGCGACTTGTGCTGCAGCACAGATTGCGTTGTGAGGCCTGAGAAAGTGACAGCACCCAGGAGGCGCGGCGGCAGCTGATGGATGGTGACTGCTGGGTTGGTGGGGATGGGCGTGGTGGCTGGTGTGAGGGACGCTGGCAGGAGGAACTGCATCGTGGTCTTGCCAGGAGAGGAGGTGGGGCCTGGGGGAGGGTGGGGTGTGGGGGGGAAAGGGAGGGGGAGGGGAGAGGAGGAGGGAGGGGAAGAGGGAAAGGAGGGAAGAAGAGTGGTTGAGACACAGGTGCCCGTGAAAGTGACAGCACCCAGGAGGCGCGGCGGCAGCTGATGGATGGTGACTGCCGGGTTGGTGGGGATGGGCGTGGTGGCTGGTGTGAGGGACGCTGGCAGGAGGAACTGCATCGTGGTCTTGCCAGGTGCTGTTGGGGCTGTGGAAGGGAAAGGGGGGAGGGAGAACAGAAGAGTCGAGGGGTAGTTTCAGTAGGAGAAAAGAGCACTGGCTCAGAAGCAGGTGCTTTTAGGGAAGATGAGAGATTGAAAGTATGACCTGTGATTCATTCGTAGTGAGCGGTGTAATGGATAAGCGTGTTCTTCGGGAGAGTGCATGTGCCTGGCAGTATGAAGACAGCTTAAAAACTCATCTCTGTGTAACTCGTCTCTGTGTAACTCGTCTCTGTGTAACTCGTCTCTGTGTAACTCGTCTCTGTGTAACTCGTCTCTGTGTAACTCGTCTCTGTGTAACTCGTCTCTGTGTAACTCGTCTCTGTGTAACTCATCTCTGTGTAACTCATCTCTGTGTAACTCATCTCTGTGTAACTCGTCTCTGTGTAACTCGTCTCTGTGTAACTCATCTCTGTGTAACTCATCTCTGTGTAACTCGTCTCTGTGTAACTCATCTCTGTGTAACTCGTCTCTGTGTAACTCATCTCTGTGTAACTCGTCTCTGTGTAACTCATCTCTGTGTAACTCGTCTCTGTGTAACTCGTCTCTGTGTAACTCATCTCTGTGTAACTCGTCTCTGTGTAACTCATCTCTGTGTAACTCATCTCTGTGTAACTCATATCTCTCTGGAAGTGCTAAATTGCTGGCAGATACACATGCATGCGATAAAGCCACTTCTTCTGTACCTGTCACCACAGGAGCAGTCATGGCGATCTTCTCACCAGCAGAGCTGCTTTTCCCTCCCACCTCCCCACCTCCTCCTTCCCCTGCTCCAGAGTGTGTGAGCACGGGAGCAGTCATCGCAATCTTCTCTCCAGCAACAGTGTGCCTCCCTGCCCCATCCCCTTCTCCTCCTTCTCCTCCTCCTCCTCCTTCCCCCTCTACTACAGCGTGTGTGAGCACAGGAGCAGTCATCGCAATCTTCTCACCCCCCTCCCCTGGGCTGTGCGAAGTGGCAGGTGCAGGTCGGTTCTGAGGAGCGGAGAGCGCGCCTATGTACCCTGCTAGCGCGGAGAAGGCTGTGTTGATGCCGTTCTGAGAAAAAAGGAATGGGTAGGGAGGGGTTGAGAGGAGTTGAGACAAGTGGAGAGCAGCAGAGAGCGTGCCAGTTTATGGAAAGGCAAAGATAATGCCATTTTGAATAAGGTAAAGAGAGGTTGACTCCGGTTGGGAGGAGTGGAGAGGAGCAGAGAGCGCGCCTATGTGCTAGCACGGGAAAAACGTTATGGTGAGTTGTTTTGCACAGGCATGGGGTTCAGCAGGGCTAAGTGGCACCGTAATGTATGGTGATGTACCTTAACGCACTGGCGTGCACCTTATTGCACCGTACTGCACCGTACCTGGTGGTCGCCATCGTACGTCACTTCTGCCACCATCTGCGGAGGGTATCGTCGAATCTCAAATGCATCCGTCTTCGCCTCCACCGTGAATTGCGGCGTCTCCACGTTGATCCGACCCAGGACAATCCCCATTGGTGCGACTAGGATACCTGTTAGTATTAACTATAACCGTAGACTACTCTTTGAAGTCGACTCTAAATTCACCTGCTGCCCCTGTTATTATTATCACTACAACGTGTTGAGGACCTCTGTGTGTGCTACACGCTGCGGTGATAAGCTGGCTTAAGATGCTGCAGACTGCCAAGTCTCGTTCATAGTCTGTGCTGTGCTCTGATACAGAAGTATCGAAAGCTCACACCTGGAGTTATATGGGCAAGAGAGTGAGCGGCAGCGCAGGACAGCAGCAGCAATCGACTACCCACTTAGCGGTGGACTGCGGTGCATTATCACAGATTCCTTGCAACGGGTCGTTTGTTCCGACGCTTTGCTAAAGCGTAGCAGTGGTATATCACAGATTCACAATCGCGACTCCGGCGCCAATGATGGCTGCCTTCGCACACACGCAAGGTAAAGAAAACGAGTTACTATTGTTCGCAAGTACCGTCGGCCTTGTCATCGTCTAACGTCTGCGCGCACAGCTAGCTGTCTGTCTGGCTTCCGTGCATGTGCACCCCGCCTCGAAGCATCCAGGCTACCGTCCTCGCTATTATATTCTTACACCAACCGCTGAAGGTGTTGAGTAATGGTTTCAGCAAACTAATTACGGTCCACAACGGTTTATAGGTAGTTAGCGAAAAAGCTCCTCTAACGCGCCGCCGTCTGTACACAATACAGGATTCGTTGTGCTTCGACGAGACTCCCAGGCTGACGTCATCTACTAGAACTACAACGGATTATTCTGAAAAGGAGTACTCGTGCCACGAGACATACCGTAGCTATTACTAGTAGAGAAACATTGATGTTTCAGGAGCCATCACTGTTTATATTCTTTATTCCAAACCTAGACGGAAGACGCGGGGTAGGGACAGGTGAAAGACCCGCCTCCTCAACCTCCGAAGCAGAGAAGCTTGGGGAGAGCGGGCTAGACGGAGATCTGGGAGGATTCATTGACGACAGCAACGCGGGAATAGCAGCCCGCCTCAGAACCATACTCCCCAGTGCCTCACATGGTTCTCCAACTCCAGATCTCACAACATTTGCCTGTGAACCACCATCACCAGAGTGAGAAGCTTGAGTGTGTTTCACAGTGCTTTTGTGGCCGTTCTGCTTGTTCTGGCTCCACCCAACGACGGGATTCGCAACGTCACTTTGGTTGCTCCAAGGCTCATTCTCCTCGACGTAATCACGCCGCGAATCGAGGCTTCCACAGCCAGGCTTGACCCTGCAGGGTGTGCCATTCCCTTCCATTACGCACGCATTGGTGTCTGACGCGAGCCTCGTGCCATGCACACTGCCATGGGGGAATAAGTGGCATTCCCGATACTCCAACTCGGATGGAGAATCCCTTGCTGCTTGTTGAGTCAAGCTACCATCCAACGATGCTGACAATGCACGCGCCACAGCAATCCTGTCTGATGCAGCATTTGCCATTGAACCCCCTCCATACTGCAAGTCAGGGAAGCCATTGCCACCTCGCTGTGGTGCATATGCGAGACGACCAGGCAAATCACCAGGTCGGTTTCCACGTGTATTGCCAGGTCCCAGGAGTGCACAAGGAGCAGTGGGGGGTCGGGAAAGAGAGGTGAAGCTTCCTGGAAAGCGATAACTTTCAACCAGCTCGTTTGCGGCCTGCAGAGCCATGGCTCGCACTCTTGCAGCTGCCCCAGCTGCCACGTCAGCAGCTTCAGCTGCTGATGACACGTGGCCAATCAGAGCACAGCTGGTCCGACCACCAGCGCCGCCGCCACTGCTGCTGCTTCTTATCACACTGCTGTCGGCACCCCATGACTCTGCTCCCCATGCTGGAGCCTTTGCTGCCACTGCCTTCTCTTCAACCTCCTCCTCGTCCTCCTCACCGTCTACCTCTGTTGGCACATCCTCTGCAGTCCAGCAATCCGCTACACCAGATCCTGCGAGAGATTCTCGAGAATTCTGAAATCTTTCAAAAACCAGTCCACTTGGTCCGGAACTGCAGCTATCTCTGCCGATTCCCCATGGGAGGTCACATTCCTGTTGCTTGGCATCAAAATCAGCACCTTCATCAGACGAAGCTCCAGCAACATAGTCACCATCATCATCGTCACCATCACCCTCTGCTAGCAGGGGGGAAGAAGGACAGCCGTGCCTCAGCTGCTGCTCCTTTTCCCTCCAGAGATTCACCTCTGTTGCTTCGAGCACTTCCCTTGGCAGGGATATGGACTTGCCAAAAGCAGCGTCAGAGCGGCCTGCATCCCTGCTGGTGCTCAAATCCGTGCTTTCCAGGAGACTGCTGCAGGCGGATGCAGCACGGTGGGATGCGGTATGCTGGGGTGTGGCATGGTGGCCGACGGTGCAGTGGGACGAGGTGTGGTTGGATGCGGTACAAGGAAGAGGCACACCCTGTACATGGCTACCTCTGGGACACACGACATGGTATGTGCTCCCCAATCGCAGCATCTCTTCAGGCGGAAGGGTGCTGCAACACGATGTGACTGAAACGAGGGCTGTGCCATGGGAAAACCCTTGCAGGAGCGCACCTGCAGTGACTGGTTCGGTGAGAATGTGGGCCCCACCATCCGGGAGGAGTAGGATGATTGTGGCTGGGGAGAATGCCTCTGACTCTTGAGACTCTGTTGGGAAGGGCGGTGAATTTTGAGGAATTGTTGGGGAGAATTGCGATTTTTGAGACGCGGAGGCGAAGAGCTGAGGTTTTTGAGGGGGTGAGAAGTTGCGCGGGGAGAGTAATCGAGAGACGAAACCACTTGCACGACCGGAAGTTAGGATTGACAGCTGCCGACCAAAACGACTGCTCCTGCTGCTGCTGCTAACACTGCTGCTGCTGCTGCTGCTAATGCTGATGCCAGTGCTGCTGCTGCTGCTGTTGCTGCTGCTGCCGCTGCCACTGCTTCTACTGCTGGTCCCCACACATTGAGGTTTCGTGCTCGTAGTGGTGCCACTAGCAGCAACACCAGCAGCAGCAGCAGCAACCGTACCGAGAGTCGCAGGTACAATGGGGAGAAATGAGCGGCAGCAGCTCACTGCAGTGCCAGCCAGAGGAGAATCATCTTCACCATTGGAGCTTTGCCACGTGGCAGCATCGCAGATCTGCTTAGTTGACCGTGAAACTGGGACTGAGAGCGACAGGTCCTCGGTTGAAACCACCTGAGGATTCTCCTCGACAGGTCGGCTCATTTTCTCCTGACGCGGAATGGAGGTATCCAGGTGAGACCACAGAAAGGCTTCACACTATCGACTTGCGATTTGAGGCTTCAAGCTTAAGACTTGGGACTCGAAACTCGAAGCTTAGACTTCTGGCTCGTAGACAGACAGCCGTGCTTAGAGATTCCGAAATTTCAAGATTTCTTGTTACTAAGTTACGTTCAGGGTAGGTTCGCCATGATTCCACGACCCAGACGGGGTGGAACACAAGATGAGGCTGAGGAAGTTGAGGAGGCTGAGGAGGGTGGGGAGAATGAGGATGTTGAGAGAGAACAGACCGTCCTGAACTAGAAAAAATAGGCGGGACAACTTTATAGAAACAGCAACGCCCTTGCTGACAAAAAAGCAGCGAAACGGTAAGAGATCGACGTCTTCGTCCGCTAAACCTCCTCGGAAGGACACGTGGTAGATACGCCAGATAAGGCTATCGCCGCGTGGTTAGTACTAGTTATTATCGTCGCTCTCGCGTGAACCCTACGGCCAATGTCAGGCGCTCTAGTGTCGATGCCCCAGATCAGATCTCCCAGTCTCGGTTCTCCAGGTGCGGTGAAGGGACGGCACGGAATCCGTACCAAGGTTGCACTACCGAGCCTGCTACTGCCGAACCGGCTACCGAGCCTGCACTGACGACACTCCGATAGAAGGGCTGGCGCAGCGGCGATGCATTAGAGCGCGACGAAACAGCGCCTCCGACCACACTAAGGCGCTAGCGACGACGGCACGGTTGGTAGTACGAGCTTATTGCTCCGTCCGATAAAACCGGTCAAAGAACACCTTCGAAGAAGGCGAAAACCTTGGAGAGGAAACGGGAGTGTTCGATAGCAGAGGGTCTTGCGGAAGGTCCGACAAGCGACGAGGATTCTGAGAAGAACGAGCGAAAGGGACCTGAGCGCGCAAGAATCCGTAAGTCCGACTGGCTAGCTCTTGCAGTCGAAAACGAAGAGGAACTACCCGCCAGCAGCATGTGCAATAGACTTGGGATTTGTCGGGTTGGATTTCCAGGCCATGTCTCGACTCTATTGGCCTTGTCTAGCTGGTAAGACAACGTTTCTCGCCTCTCATTTAGGCTTCGAAAATACGCCTCTGCCTTGGTCGCCACTGTTCGCTCCTGTCCAGCGGCGCATCTATGCTTTGCGACGCGCGGCGCTGCTCTAGCGAAGGATCCATTGCTTGCTGCTGGTTGCTTTCGTGTGTGTGACGGAAAAAGGCGGACTTCACCTGCTTTCCTCGTAGGACGGTGCTTTGCTGATGGGCTATGGCTGACGGGTTTGAATCACCTAGGGATTGGATGGACTGAAATTGAAATTCTAGTGAGGCTTTTGATTTCTTAGCTTGGGGGAAAGGGGAAGCGGGATGTGGGACGGTGTCGGTGTAGGAAAAAACACCTACAGAATCTCTCCAACCTTGCTTTATCCCGCAAAACCGTACCGTATAGCTGTTTTCGCTGACTTGGCGACAGCATTGCAGCATTTCCCTTTGCCTCGGTGGACGGACAACGCCAGCTTTCGCCGATCAGGTCACACAAAGCTCGCCAGCAAAACAAAGTTGTCGCAAATTCCATCGCCAGACCACATCCAACTGCGAAGACCGTGCACTGCGACGGACTACCTCCCTCGCGAAACAGCCAGCGAGGCTGGTCCGAACCCAAGAGGTGACTCCTTACAGCTCTTAACTACCGAAACCACGCAAAGAACAAGAGTAGTTTGATAGGGCACCGACCACTTACACTAGCAGCAAGAAGCAAACCATATACAATATTAGCTAGAACAGGGGTATTTAGTACATGACATGTAATAACAAAACCACTTCAGTTCTAATTTGCCTGTTAATCCCTTCAATGTAGAATATTATGGAAAGAAGAGGAGAAACTCTCGCATTGTGTGAGGTGAGGTGGTTATATTAGCACATGACAGTGTTAGCTTCCCATTCTTATCGCTCTGCATAGCGCCGCCTTCCTTAAAGCATTCCCAAGGGACCAAGGCATGGATGGCATAGAGGGCATGCCACGCGGTGCCTTGGCGTGCGTGTGGGTTGCAACAGGAAAAGGGCGCCTTGATCTGAAAAGACTCAAAATCTCTAAGGGAGGGACCAACCAACCAAGGCATGGATGGCACACAGAGGCTTGCAGGATGCATATCAGGCAAAGAGCGCCTTTGGAAGTAAGTTTTGAGACGCCTCAATTGATGGCACACAGTGGCTTGATGTGTAGGTCGGAGAGGAAGCAAGGAAAGGAGGGGCGGGGTTGAATTGAAGCCGCTAGCGCGTGGCTCTGGGCTTGCAGAGGAACTGCAGAGGGACCGCACAGGGGAGTGGGGAGGATGAGGGGAGTGGGGAGGATGAGGGGAGAGAAGAGGATGAGGGTAGAGAGGAGGATGGGGGGAGTGTCGACGGGCGGGCACCTTTTGAAACGATTCTTTAGACACCTCACCTGGTTGGTAAATCCGTCCTGAGCGCACTCCCGGGTACGGGTAGCAATCTCAGCCAGGAGCGTGCAGCGCTCGCGGTCGTCAGCAGGGATGTCGTTGTCCGCGTCCGGACATCCAAAATCTGGGCGGTTGGCAGGCAACGCTCTTGCCCTTCCTTATCCCTGCCCCACCACTCGCTCATAATCTAAAAGTCTAAGTGACCCAGACATCTCAAAATCTAGGTGATCTCAACCAGCCCAGACATCTCAAAACCTCCTGAACCACCTCAACTCACCTTATTGCTGAAGCCGTCCTGAGCGCACTCCCGCGCTCGGGTGACTTTTGAGTCATCTCACAAGCTCACCTGGTTGCTGGTCCCACCGGCTCACCTTATTGCTGAAGCCGTCCTGAGCGCACTCCCGAGCTCGTGCGGCAATCTCAGCCAGGAGAGTGTAGCGCTCGCGGTCGTCAGCAGGGATGTCGTTCTCCGCGTCCGTGGGCGGGCGACAGGCAACGTCCTTGCCGTTGACGGAGCGCACGTGAGCGAAGTACATCTCGTCGGTGCTCAGATCCACCCCGCCGGTGCTTGGTTTGTCTGTCTTGTGAACATATACCGCCTCCACCTGCACAGAGCAATTGCGGGCACGCAGCACAGCCGCAACAGCAGCAGCATAAAGTGAGTCTTTCTAAGGCGCCTCAAAGGGATGCCGTTCTCCGCATAGGTGGGCGGGCTACAGGCAACGTCCATGCCGTTGATGGAGCGCATGTGAGCGAAATACATCTCGTCGGTGCTCAGATCCACTCCACCCGTGCTCGGTTTGTCTGTCTTGTGCACGTACACGGCCTCCACCTGCGGGCAGCAGAGCAGTATGTGAGCAACTTCCATTAGCTTAAGCCACACCTCATCTCATTGGTACTCAGATTCACCCCGCCTGTGCTCGGCTTGTCTGTCTTGTGGACATACACCGCCTCCACCTGCAGACAACATAATCGCAGCATGAAGCGAGGCGTCTCAAAGGAGATGGAGTGCACGTGAGCAAAGTACATCTCGTCGGTGCTCAGATCTACTCCGCCTGTGCTCGGCTTGCCTGTCTTGTGGACATACACCGCCTCCACCTGCATTGAATATATGATGGCGTGAAGTGAGACAATTCTTGAGGGCTTATAAGGCGCATCAGGTGTTGATGGAGCGCACGTGGGCGAAATACATCTCGTCGGTGCTCAGATCCACACCTCCGGTGCTCGGCTTGTCTGTCTTGTGGACATATACCGCCTCCACCTGCATGGAAGAATCACAGCATCAAGTGAGTGTGGTGGCAGGCGACGTCCTTGCCGTTGATGGAGTGCACGTGAGCAAAGTACATCTCATTGGTGCTCAGGTCTACTCCGCCCGTGCAAGGCTTGTCTGTCTTGAGGACATACCCTGCGCTTGGCTTGCCCTGTCCGGTGGACATACACACTACCTCGACCTGCCCAGAATTTTTTTTGAGTCAACTCAATACTGACTTATGAGTTGACTCAAAACTGACTTTTGAGTCGACTCAAGACTGACTTTTGAATCGACTCAAGACTGACTTTTGAATCGACTCAAAACTGACTTTTTAGTCGACTCAAGACTGACTTTTGAATCGACTCAAAACTGACTTTTGAGTCGACTCAAGACTGACTTTTGGGTCGACTCAAAACTGACTTTTGAGTCGACTCAAAAGTCGGCTTGCCCTGTCCGGTGGACATACACACTACCTCGACCTGCACAGAAGAATCACAGCAGGGGAGAAGCAGAAGCGGCACCGCCATTGCCACCACCATTAACAGCACCACCACCACCAGCACCACCAGCAGCACGCACCTTGTGGGGGTTGACAACATCTTGCGGTGGCCGAAGTAGTCGATGCACACCTTGGGATCATCCTCCCCCGAAGACCACCTTGGGATCATCCTACCACCACCACTCTCCACCACTCTGCACCACTACCACCAGCACCAGCACCACGCACCTTGCGCGGGTTGACAAACATCTTGCGGTAGTCGATGCACACCTTGGGATCATCCTCCCCTCACAGGTAGTACTTACAAGCAGCAAGGTACTAGGAACAGAAGCAGCACCACCACCACTACCAGCACCAGCAGCACCACCATAGAACCAAGCAGCACGAACCTTGCGCGGGTTGACAAACATCTTGCGGTGGCCGAAGTAGTCGATGCACACCTTGGGATCATCCTCCCCTCACAGGTAGTACTTACAAGCAGCAAGGTACTAGGAACAGCAGCAGCACCACCACCACTACTGTCGGAGATACAGCTATCCCTTCTCTGCCTTCGCCTTCTTGTTCATCTTCTCTTGAAAGCCACCTGTTGCCTCAGCCACTCTCATATGAAAGCGATGTAACTCTCACCTCAAGGGTCCTCTCTGAGTGGTGTGCCACCTGTGTGCAAGGCTTAGGTAACAGCAGTCCACTATACGAAAGGATAACAAACAGAAAGCATTGTGTGTGTGTGTGAGAGTGAACTTACCTGACCCTGGCTCGAACCGTGCATTTCTCAATGTGCGGCTCGAGCCTGGGTTGGTTCGTTCCGATTGGCTGCATGGATTTCACCCCTTGGTGCTCTCCTACCAACTTCGCGTCAATTTCCCAGCCCCCCACCTACCTAACCTCGAACCTGCAAATACAACATAACTACACCGTAACTACACCTTCTCAATATTGTCACCTTATATGCACAATCGTGCATATTCGGTGACAGCTGTCGGAGATACAGCTATCCCTTCTCTGCCTTCGCCTTCTTGTTCATCTTCTCTTGAAAGCCACCTGTTGCCTCAGCCACTCTCTGCCCCCTCCTGTGCCCGTGCTCGCGCAGCTTGAGCGCGGGTCACAGGACCGATACGCTGAGGCCCGCTTCCTCTGACCACTGCAGTGTTTGTTTGATGCTCCTTCAACTGCGCCCCTGTGTCATTCTCTAGGACCAGCACCCCCGACGGGCGCACCTCCCTGACCTTCCAGCGGACCGTCCCCAGCCCCACATCCAAGGTGTCCTGCTTTGCTCTCTTGAGATACACCTCCAGCCCTTCACTGACGCCCCTTGTCGCTCGTCCTTCTCCCTTGCGCTGTCTCTGCTCATACCTCCTGGCATCCCTCAGCTGTGCGGTGTGCAGGTTCTCCAATGCTGCTGGCATCATGTAGCGCATGTAGCGCGCTCTCACCTCGGACAGGGCGACCCAGTTCTTGATCGTGCCCGCCGTCACTGTGTCTGTCGGCACTCGCGGTGCCCCCACTCGCGATATGGGCTCTCGTCCGTAAAGTAGGCTGTACGGGGAATGGTCCTTCAAGGCTGCCTGCTTCCCGAATCTGTACCCTGCTGCTATCCAGTCTAACTCCTCATCCCAGTCTCTCTTCCTCTGTTCCCCATAGGCCCGCAATCCCCGCTTAAAGGTCTGCACTGCTCGCTCAGTCAGCCCGTCGCTCTGCGGGTGGTAGCGGGAGGTCTTACGGTGCGTGATGCCTGACTCCTCCAGGAGCTTCTTGAACTCTCCTTGAAACTCCGTTCCTTGATCTGTGAGTACCTCCCCGCACGCTCCGAATCGGCACACCACCTGCGCTTTGAAGGCTGCTGCAATGTGCCTTGCGCTCTTGCTTGGTATGGCTCTCACCTCTAGCCACTTACTCACATGTTCCACCATGAACACTATATACTGATTCCCGCTCCTGCTCAGCGGCAACTCTCCCGCGAGGTCCAGGGACCATCGAAACCCCAGCCCGCAGATGGGCAGTGAGTGCAGCTCTGCTTTGGCCTGTGTCAGGTTGGCTTTGCTCCTCTGACATGCCTCGCACCCTTCCACCCACGCTTTTACCTGCCTGCGCATCCCTTCCCACCACCAGCCCGTCTTGAGCAGCTGCACAGTCCTTTCGTGCCCGAAATGCCCCAGCTTGTTGTGTACTTCCTTGATCACTGCTTCACGCTCTTCGGGCGCTGGCACCAGCTTCCAGCCATCCTCCGTCTTGATCTGTAACTGCTGCTGATACCACCTGTAGTGGTGTCCCCGTGCCCTCACCCTTTCGGGCACTGTCTCATCTTCCTCCGTCTCTCCCTTCAACCACTCCATTGCCTTTGCATCCTGCCATATGTCAGCTGGCCCCTTGCTCCCTTTTGCACCCGCCTGCTCTACCTCCCTTGCCAGCAGGATCAAGGTCTGCGCTGGCTCCTGCTCTGTCCCTCCCATCTCCTTGGCTGCCTGCTCTGCTTCTGGTGGTGGCGGGTTGCGGGACAGGCCATCAACGTGCTGCAGTGTCTTCCCCGGCCTGTGTCTGATCTTGAAATCGTATTCCTGCAGCTTTACTGCCCACCGCGCGTTCCTCCCCGTTAGGCCTGGCGTCGTCATTAGCCACGTGAGTGGCTGATGGTCCGTAACTAGTGTAAACTCTCTGCCCTGTAGGTACACCCGGAAGTGTCCTACCGCCCACACTGCCGCCAGCCCCTCCCCGATGTATGAGCTGTACTGCGCCTCCGCTGGGTTGCAGCTCCTACTGGCGAAGGCTACCACTTTCTCCACTCCCTCTACTTCTTGGCATAGTATCGCTCCCATCCCCTGGCTGCTCCAGTCGGTGTAGAGGATGAAGGGCTGGTCTGCTGCTGGCAGCCGCAGTACTGTCGCCGTCTTCACAGCTGACATGAGGTCGTGCAGTGCCTCCCTCTGCTTCTCGCCCCACTCCCATGCCTTGTCCTCTCGCAGCATCCCGTTCAGCACCGTCGCTCTCTTGCTGAAGTTCGGCACGAAGCGCCTGTAATAGCTGAGGAAGCCCAAGACTGCACGCAGTCCTGACTTGTCTCTTGGCTCCCTCAGCTTATCTAGCACCTGCACCTTTGCCTGCTGGATCCCAATCTGCCCCCCTGTGACCTCGTACCCCAGGTACTGCACCGTCTGCTCCCCCCATCTGCACTTGTTAGGGTGACACGTGAGCCCTGCCTCTTCTATGGCCGTCAGTGTCCTCTCCACGTCCTCCAGGTGCTGCTGCTCGGTCAAGCTGAAGATCACCACATCGTCTATATAGCACGCTGCGTGCTCTATCCCCCGCAGCACCGCGTCCATGACGCGCTGGAACACCGCTGAGGCGTTCCTCAGACCAAAGGGCATGTACAGCCATTCGTACAACCCGTCCGGTCCGTGGAATGCCGTTTTCTTCACATCTTCCTCTCTGATCTTGATTTGATTGAATCCTTGACGCAGGTCCAGCGTTGTGAAATACACCCCGTCGGCCAGCTTGTCAAAAAGCTCTTCCGCCATCGGCATTGGGTATCTATCCGGCACTGTGATCTTATTAAGATCTCTGTGATCCCCGCACATCCTCCGGCTCAGCACCTCTCCTGTCAAATCCTTCCTGGCTGCCACTACGGTCGGGGTAGCGTACTCAGACTCTGACCTCCTGATCAGCCCGGCTTCCAATAACTCCTTTATCTTCTCCCTGCAGATCGCCTCATCCCCTGGTGGCATCTTCCTCCTACGGTGAAACACCGGCTCCTCACTGCTCAGCTTCAGTGCCATTTCCTTGATCTTGCACTTCCCCAACTCCTGCAGGGTGAAAGCGAAGCCCTTCCTATGCTTAACTAGCAGTGCCCTCATTGCCGC